GAAAAAGAAGAAGAAGAAGAAGAAGAAGAAGAAGAAGAAGAAGAAGAAGAAGAAGAAGAAGAAGAAGAAGAAGAAGAAGAAGAAGAAGAAGAAGAAGAAGAAGAAGAAGAAGAAGAAGAAGAAGAAGAAGAAGAAGAAGAAGAAGAAGAAGAAGAAGAAGAAGAAGAAGAAGAAGAAGATGATGATGATGATGATGATGGAGGTGTGTTATATATATTCACCACCTTGAGTTATTTGAAATATGCCTAAGACGGGACTAGAACTCACCGTCTCCTGGTGATTGGCCCAAAGTCACCCAGCTGGCTTTCATCCCTAAGGCGGGACTAGAATTCCCGCTTTGTAATCTGGTGCCTTAATCCCTAAACCAAACTAGCTCTAACTGCAGAATATTTTTTTTCCCCTTTACAGGAGAACGAAGGTCCTTTAAGTCGCGTCGCGTCAGAATTTGGTTTAAATGTATCTGCAATCCACAGAGGAGGCGGAGAAGGCCCTCATCCTAAAAGGGTTAGTCAAAATCCTTCAAACATCCAGGGTCTTACAGAACATTAAGGCGTCCAAGGGGAAAGACTTAATAATAATAATAATAATAAAGTTGGAAGGGACCTTGGAAGTCATCTAGTCCAACCCCCTGCTCAGGCAGGAAACCGTATACCATTTCAGACAAAGGGCTGTCCAGTCTGTTCTTGTAGACACCTTGAGTGTTGTATAATATATATAGACAGTCTCTGACTTAACGACCACAATTTCCCTTCCCCTGCAAGGCAGTTGTTAATTGGGTTGTGTCGGATTCCATGACCATTTTTGCTACCGTTGTTAAGTGAAACCCGCTTCCCCCATTGTCTTCGTTTGTCGGAAGCCGGCTGGGAAGATCACGAATGGGGATCGCAGGACCCCCCAGGATGCTTCAACCACCCCTAAATACACGCCTGAACTTTCAGGCTTGTAGGTTTAAGGACCAGTTGTAAGACACTTTTTTTTCCAGTGCCGTTGTAACTTTGAAAGATCGCTAAACAAACCATTGTAAGTCAAGGATGACCTGCGTTCCTTTTGGGGAAAGGGCAGGATTTGCAAATGAAGAGTGAAAAGAATTGTAGTTTTTAGCTTAATGTCGTGGTTCCGACAGGTGAAACCCTTCAAAGAACTTTGAGGCATTGTTTACCTTAAAGAATCTTTATTTGAGAAGCATAACATCGGCCTGGCTGAGGAATTCTGGGGAGTTGAAGTCCACCAGTCATCAAAGGGCCAAGTTTGAAGACCCCTGGTATAGACCTACATCCTTACACATAAGTAACATATAAATATCATTTTGGGATCGCTCCCTAATGTCTCAGGTACTCCAAGAATTCAGGCTTAGTAGGTGGTGTTGGCTTCTCCTGCAGGGCCAAATTATTGACTTCCGTGGGCTGATTCAGGATGCGATCAAAGGGGCCTCCAGCGAAATCTCCCTCCACAGCTTCAACTGCAATCCGGATCCTTCGGTAAGTGATGTTCTTTATAACCGAAAGCTGGCCAAAGTCATTCCTTTTTCGGAAACAATTATTTCGATTGGAAATATAACGGATCAGAAATGTTGATGGGTGAGAACGGCTTCCAGCACATTAAACCAGGATACATTATTCTACATCCTCTGTATCTTTGCAAAGCGAGAATAGAATAGAATAGAATAGAATAGAATAGAAAATAGAATAGAATAGAAAATGGAAGAGAAGAGAAGAGAAGAGAAGAGAAGAGAATATAGAATAGAATAGAATAGAATAGAATAGAATAGAATAGAATAGAAAATGGAAGAGAAGAGAAGAGAAGAGAAGAGAAAATGGAATAGAATAGAATAGAATAGAAAGTAGAATAGAAAGTAGAATAGAATAGAATAGAATAGAATATGGAATAGAATAGAAAATAGAATAGAATAGAAAAAATAGAATAGAAAAGAAAATAGAATAGAATAGAAAATAATAGAATAGAAAAGAAAATAGAATAGAATAGAAAATAATAGAATAGAGAATAGAATAGAGAATAGAATAGAATAGAATAGAATAGAATAGAATAGAATAGAATAGTTAAGTGAATCTGGCTTCCCCCCCACTCCCCATGGACTTGGCTTGTCAGAAGATTCCAAAAGGCGATCACATGACACACACACACACACACATACGGGACACTACGACCGTCATAAATAGGAGTCAGTTGCCGAGCGTCCGAGTGTTGGTTATGTGACCCTGGGGATGGTGCGATGGTCGTAAGTGTGAAAAACATTCTTAAGTCCCTGGTTTTCAGTGCCATTGTAACTTTAAAAGGTCACTAAATAAACTGTGGTAATTGGAGGACTACCGTATAGGTCTTTAGGGTTGGTAAATGGACGCCAACAATAGACAGACCAGGAGTCAACCCAAACCGTACTTTCCACAACTTGTGTTGGCTGTCATGGTTCCGACAGAGGAAACTCTTCAAAGAACTTTGAGGCATTGTTTACCTTAAAGAATCTTTATTTGAGAAGCATAGCGTGGGCACTAACACAGTCGAAGCCAAAAACTGGATTCCCCTCCCCTGAGCTCATAGTCTCAAAGCACAAATCCCTCCTCCAATTAACAGTCGTAAATCACATTCTCCAATTAGCTTGAAATGCAGGCTTCCCCTCCAGTTTTCCAGCCCGCCAATTCTTATCATCTCTTATTTCAATAACCTTGGTTCACACACTAGGTCCAGTATTGTTATGTCTAGCTAAACTCTCATGCACATTCGTACCCCGCCCCAGCATCATCTAACTCTAGCTCTAACTCTAAGAGTAAAACATAAGAAGAAAAGGGTTGCATCTCCCACTGTTGTCAAAGCAAAAACATCCGAGGTTAGCAGCGTTGACATCGACGTTTTCCATTTTTTCCAGGAACGCCTTTTAAAGCCTTTGGGCGCCTTGCTTGGGATGACAGCTGAAATGAGGGAGCTTGCGACGGTGGTCAGTAAGGTGAGTTTTTCTTGTCCGACCCAGGAGGGGGGTTGAACTGCAGCCTCGTTCACCGAGAGGGCTGATCCTCCTGTCCGTCTTGAGATTGGAAGTCAGGCGAAAGAGACAGGAGGAACATGAAGATACATCACAATAACCTTTCTCGCCTCAGCTTCACACTCTTACGGTAGCTTAGCAGATTCTCCCGTCTTATGGAGTCCTATCAGGTGCATAATTTGTATCTGCCTGGAGATAGCCATCCATGGTGGAGATACTATGATTCATGAAGACTGGGGGGGGGTCCTTGATGCTCTCTGAGCTTGGTGGCTTTCTAGCAGACGTTTCATTACCAAACTAGGTAACATCATCAGTGCTAGAAGAGAGTGGTGTTTATGGAGAAGAGGAGGAGGAGGAGGACTGTGGGGTCCTTGGTGCTTCTGAGCTTGGTGGCTTTCTAGCAGATGTTTCATTACCAAACTAGGTAACATCATCAGTGCTAGAAGAGAATGGTGTTAATGGAGGAGGAGGAGGAGGAGGAGGAGGACTGTGGAGTCCTTGGTGCTTCTGAGCTTGCTGGTTTCCTTGCAGACGTTTCATGACCCGGCTAGGGAACATCCTCAGTGCACAACTTCAATTGAAGTCCACAAGTCTTACAAGGTTGCTGAACTTGCACACACCCCTGAGTTCGAGACAGGACGAGACAGCCAGAACCTCAGTGGCAATTCTTGCAGACCCAACCAAGCTTGACGAATAGAGAAAGGCGCCGAATGTCGTAGTTCAGCCCCAGCTGACTCTTCCTTTCTGCCCACCCACCTCCCAGTCATGGCACCCGCATAGCAACCTGTCCTTTGTCGTGTTGCCTATTTTTTCTCAATTTTACGACTTATTTTGCGGCACATTTATTACGCTGGCACAGGAAAATGGGGGGAGACTGTTTTTAAGGAGATCAAACCGTGTCTTGCAGGATATCTACCTTCACAACCCCAACATCAAATGGGACGACATCATTGGGCTGGAGGCCGCCAAGCGCTTAGTCAAGGAAGCCGTTGTGTATCCCATAAGGGTAAGGAGCAAAAGTCACACAAATAGCCTCGCTTGTCGGCGGGCCAAGATATCTGACATACGGCCAACACTTGGGTCCAACATGTCTGCTGCTGAGCAAGGCGGTGGTTAAGGGAGCCACGCCTGATTTCATAGCCACGATGGGTGACTTTGGGTCGATCACCAGGAGACTGAGAGTTCTAGTCCAACCTCAGGCATGAAAACCATCTGGGTGACTTTGGGCTGATCACCAGGAGATTGTGAGTTCTAGTTCTGCCTTAGGCATGAAAGCCAATTGGGTGACTTTGGGCCGATCACCAGGAGCCTGTAAGTAATTCTGTCTTAGGCATGAAAGCCAATTGGGTGACTTTGGTTGATCACCAGGAGCCTGTGAGTTCTAGCATGACATTCGGAGTGAAAGCAGCTGGGTGATTTTGGGCCGATCACCAGGAGACTGTGAGTTCTAGTCCTGCCTTAGGCATGGAAGCCAATTGGGTAACTTCGGGCCACTCCTCTCAGCTCAGCCCACCTCACAGGGTCGTTGTGGTGGGGAAAACAGGAGGAGGGAATATGCATGCCCGGCGCCTTGAGTTACTTATAAACAATGAAGGTGGGATAACAATCAAATAAATAAATACAATCTAATGCTGGGTTGGATGTTCGAAAGGGAGGGAACCATTACATAAATAAAAGGGGGGAGAGATCCAGAAATACAGAATTCGCCACCCTGATGGCCTACATTTCCCCTGTAGCAACACCACTCTGATAAAAAAAATACTGGTTGGGTTACCAAAGTGACCTGCTAATCATTGTTTAGTGATGGTATTTTTTTAAAATCTTTTCTCCACAGTACCCGCAGTTGTTTACAGGCATTCTTTCTCCTTGGAAGGGACTTCTACTCTATGGGCCTCCAGGTATGAATTATTATTATTATTATTATTTAAATTAAATGTTGTGACTCCACTCCAATCTTTTTCATTCTCAACGCCAACAGTAGTAGTAGTAGTAGTAGTAGTAGTAGTAGTAGTAGTAGTAGTAATAATAATAATAATAATAATAATAATAATAATAATAATAATAATAATAATAATAATAATATAAAATTGAAAGGTCATCTAGTCCAACCCCCTGCTCAGGCAGGAAACCCTATACCATTTCGGACAAATGGCTGTCCAGTGTCTTCTTAAAAACCTCCAGTGTTGGAGAAGAGACGGAGGGAGGGAGGGAGGAAAGAAGGGAGGAAGAATAACAGAATAACAGAGTTGGAAGGGACCTTGGAGGTCCTCTAGATGATAGCTAGATGTAGATAGATGAGATAGAGATAGATTGATAGATATAGATGGTAGATAGAGATAGATAGATAGAGAGAGAGATTGATAGTTATAGATAGATGATAGATAGATGTAGATCGAGATAATAATAAATAATAATAATAATAACAATAACAACAACAACAACAACAACAACAACAACAACAACAATAATAATAATAATAATAATAATAATAATAATAATAAAGTTGGAAGGGACCTTGGAGGTCATCGAGTCCAACCCCCTGCTCAGGCAGGAAACCCTACACCATTTCGGACAAATGGCTGTCCAGTCTCTTCTTAAAGACTTCTAGCGTTGGAGCATTCACCGCTTCTGGAGGCAGGTTGTTCCACTGGTTAATTGTTCTATCTGTCAGGAAATGTCTCCTTAGTTCCAGGTTGCTTCTCTCCTTGATTAGTTTCCATCCGTTGCTTCTTGTCCTGGAGAACAGCTTGACTCCCTCTTCTTTGGGGCAGCCCCTGAGATATTGGAACGCTGCTATCATGTCCCCCCTCATCCTTCTCTTCATTAAACTAGACAGACCCAATTCCTGCATGTTTAAAATGCTGCTTTTCCTTCCTCTTCTAGGTACAGGGAAAACTTTGCTGGCTAAAGCTGTCGCTACTGAATGCAACACAACCTTCTTCAACATCTCCGCGTCCACCATTGTCAGCAAATGGAGAGGCGATTCAGAAAAGCTTGTCAGAGTAAAAATCCCTTTGCTTTCCTTTATACACGGATAAAACTTAAGAGGGAATTTGCTAACATATGGCCTAACGCAGGCGTTGGCTAAACCAATCCTCCATAGAAAGAGTGCACAGAAGAGCAAGAAAGATGTTTAGGGGACTGGAGGCTAAAGCATATAAGGAACGGTTGCTGGAATTGGGGATGTCCGGTTTAATGAAGAGAAGGACTAAGGGGTGAGATGATAGCAGTGTTCCAGTATCTCAGGGGCTGCCCCAAAGAAGAGGGAGTCAAGCTCTTCTCCAAAGCCCCTGAAGGCAGGATAAGAAGCAGTGGATGGAAACTGACCAAGGAGAGAAGCAACCTAGAACTAAGGAGAAACTTCCTGACAGTGAGAACAATTAACCAGTGGAACAACCTGCCTCCAGAAACTGTGGATGCTCCAACATGGGAAGTTTTTAAGAAGAGACTGGACAGCCATTTGTCCAAAATGGTATAGGTTCTCCTGCTTGAGCAGGGGGCTGGACTAGAAGACCTCCAAGGTCCCTTCCAGTTCTATTCTATTCTATTCTATTCTATTCTATTCTATTCTATTCTATTCTATTCCATATTTTCTATTCTATTCTATTCTATTCTATTCTATTCTATTCTATTCTATTCTATTCTATTCCATATTTTCTATTCTATTCTATTCTATTCTATTCTATTTTATTCTATTCTATTATTCTAATTATTTCAGCACGATTATTTGCCAAACAAAAGATCTAACATGCAACTGCACCAGAGTTCAGCTTTTATTTGTAGAGAGAAGTGTGTGTAATATACCTAGGTATTTAGCTCACCCAACTTTTAATTCTCTCCACATTCATTTTTGCTTATAAAAGTGTATTTAAAAATCTATAAAAGCCGCTCTAAAGGAACATTTTAGTCTCTACCGGCTATAGGAGGATTTGTTTGGCTTCTCTTTCTGGAATCATTCTCCTCCTTTATTATTCCCTTCATATTTGAGTAGGATTTAGGTGAAAAGATTTAAAATATAAAGACAGGATTATTTGTCTCTCTTCGCCCTTCCTCTCCTCTTTTGTGAGCTGTGGAGATTTAAGAATTATTCTGTATGTCCCTATCAAGGCAGCATTTCTAATATATTATTCCTCGTGTATTCTTATAATGAGGTTGCTTACAATATTTTACTCTAATAGCCACTATATTTTCCTGATCCCATGTCAGAAAACAAAATATACCACAATTGAGCTCAACGTTTCTGTTGCTAAGGGAAAGAATTGTTAAGAGAGTTTTCTTCCGTTTCTTGCCACAGTTGTTAAATGAATCACTGCAGTTGTTAGTAACACAATTGTTAAGTGAATCTGGGTTCCCCCGTTGACTTTGCTCGTCACGTGATTCCCCCCACCAGGACGCTGCAACCGTCGTAAATATGAATCAGTCGCCAAGCATTTAAATTTTGATCACGTGGCCATGGGGATGCTGCAGTGGTCATAAGTGTGAAAAACGGTCATAGGTTGCATTTTTCAGTGCTGTTGTAACGGTTCCTACGCGAACTGTTATTAAGTTGAGGACTCTCTGTCCCTTTTTAAAAAAAAAAAAATGACATTTTTTGTTTTAAATGTTCATTTCTTTTGCAGTATTGAATTGACACCCGTTTTAGCTGTCTCTAACTGAGGCTTAAAGCATCCAGATGGGAACAATCTGGTTTTGGATTGCTCTTTTTTTTTTTTTTTTTTACCACACAAAAAAGTTTGGAGGGGGTTCATAGATTACAAGAAGTGATTTGGGGCACCCTATAACAACAACAACAACAACAACAACAACAACAACAACAACAACAACAACAATAATAATAATAATAATAATAATAATAATAATAATAATAATAATAATAATAATAATAATAATAATAAAGTTGGAAGGGACCTTGGAGGTCATCTAGTCCAACCCCCTGCCCAGGCAGGAAACCCTATACCATTTCAGACAAAGGGCTGTCCAGTCTCTTCTTAAAAACTTCCAGTGTTGGAGCATTCACAGCTTCTGGAGGCAGGTGGTTCCACTGGTTAATTGTTCTAACTGTCAGGAAGTTTCTCCTTTGTTCTAGGTTGCTTCTCTCCTTGATGAGTTTCCATCCGTTGCTTCTCGTCCTGCCTTCAGGGGCTTTGGAGAATAGCTTGACTCCCTCTTCTTTGGGGCAGCCCCTGAGATACTTGAAGGCTGCTATCATAGTGAGAACAATTAACCAGTGGAACAACCTGCCTCCAGAAGCGGTAAATGCTCCAACACTGGAAGTTTTTAAGAAGAGACTGGACAGCCATTTGTCTGAAATGGTATAGGGTTTCCTGCCTGAGCAGAGGGTTGGACTAGATGACCTCCAAGGTCCCTTCCAACTTTACTATTTTTTATTATTATTATTATTATTATTATTATTATTATTATTATTATTATTATTATTATTATTATTATTATTATTATTATTATTATTATTATTATTATTATTATTATTATTATTATATCACCCCTCATCCTTCTCTTCATTAAACTAGACATCCCCAATTCCAGAGCAAAGAGTGTTTGGGATTTTGGCTGAGGGCTGTAGGGCAGAGGCCCCCAACCTTTGGGGCACCAGGGACCGGTTCCGTGGGGAGAGGTTTTTCCACGGACCGGAGGGTGTGTGGTTTTGTGTGCTGCCTGCATCCCACGGATGGGGCTTTGCTTGCTGGCATGCCGTGGCCCGGTAACCAGTCCACAGACCAGGGGTTGGGGACCCCTGCTGTAGGGGGCTCTGTGGCTACAAGCGGCAAAACCCCGCCTCAGCGGCTCATATTGCATTCTTCCAAATTTCCTGCAGTCAGAGAATGATCCCAAATGATCCCATTTGCCCCTCTTGATATTTCTTTCCTGACTTCTGTCTCCGTCTCTTGCAGGTATTATTTGAGCTTGCCCGCTACCATGCCCCTTCCACGATCTTCCTGGATGAGCTGGAGTCAGTCATGAGTCAGCGTGGCACCGTTCCAGGGTAACAGTTTTCAAATGGTCTGGTCTCTGTTACCTTTTTTTTCTTTTTTCCTTCCTTTTTTTGAGGGGACGGGGATGTCAAAGTCAACTCTCTTATTATTGGATTTTTTTAAAAAAAAAATATTTCAAAAAGAAATCTGTTAACCTTTAGAGGAGAATATTTGAAACTCCGGGTTGAACTGTGGGGTCCCTGGTGCTCTCTGAGCTTGGTTGTTTCCTTGCAGGCGTTTCATGACCCAGCTAGGTAATATCATCAGTGCTGGAAGGGAGGGGGGATTGTGGGGGGGAGGAGGAGGAGGACTGTAGAGTCCTTGGTGCTCTCTGAGCTGGGTGGTTTTCACTCAGACGTTTCATGACCCAACTAGGTTACATCATCAGGGCTGGAACGGAGTGGGGTTTGAAGAGAGGAGGAGGAGGAGGAGGAGGAGGAGGAGGAGGACTATGGGGTCCTTGGTGCTATATCCGAGTTTGGGTGTTTTCTTGCAGATGTTTCATGACCCAACTAAGTAACTTTATTAGTGTTAGAAGGGAGAAGGGTTTGTGGAATCATGGAACAGGAAGAGGAGGAGGAGGAGGAGGAGGAGGAGGAGGAGGAGGAGAAAGAGGAAGGACTGTAGAGTCCTTGGTGCTCTCTGAGCTTGGTGGTTTTCTTGCAGACGTTTCATGACCCAACTAGGTAACATCATCAGTGCTGGAAGGGAGTGGGGTTTGCAGAGAGGAGGAGGAGGAGGAGGAGGAGGAGGAGGAGGAGGAGGAGGAGGAGGACACGACCACTATGGGGTCCTTGGTGCTCTCTGAGCTTGGCTGTTCCCTTGTAGACGTTTCATTACCAAACTAAGCAACATCATCAGTGCCTGGCTGGCTCAGGAATTCTGGGAGTTGAAGTCCACAATTTGCCAAGGGCCCTGCTCTTGATGCTATTTTATCTGTTTAGCTCAGCAGGGAATAGAAAGAAATTTACAATCCCGTAAAGTGGATACTAGGGCAACCTTTTCGAGCGGTGCCTTTGTTTCTCCAGACCAGGGGTGGGCAACCTTGGCTCTTTTATGACTCCTGGACTTCAACCCCCAGAATTCCTGAGCCAGCCACACTGAGGGGAAAGGGAGAGGTTTCCAAGCTGAGCCAAGCTGGCTCAGGAATTCTGGGAGTTGAAGTCCACCAGTCATGAAGGGGACATAATTCCCTCATGCTGGCTCAGGAATTCTGGGAGTTGAAGTCCATCAGTCGTAAAAGGGCCAAGTTTGAAGACCCCTGGTTTAAATATTTAAATATTTTTCCTCACGGTCACATGATCAAAATTCAGGCATTTGGGCAGGGGTAGGCAACCTTGGCTCTTTTATGACTGGTGGACTTCAACTCCCAGAATTCCTGAGCCAGCCACACTGAGGGGAAAGGGAGAGGTTTCCAAGCTGAGCCACGTTGGCTCAGGAGTTCTGGGAGTTGAAGTCCACGAGTCATCAAGGGAGCCATAGTTCCCCCATGCTGGCTCAGGAATTCTGGGAGTTGAAGTCCACGAGTCATAAAGCGGCCCAGGCCTGGGGTAGGCCACCTTGGCCCTGTTATGACTCGTGGACTTCAACTCCCAGAATTCCTGAGCCAGCCATGCTGAGGGGAAAGAGAGAGGTTTCCAAGCTGAGCCATGCTGGCTCAGGAATTCTGGGAGTTGAAGTCCACCAGTCATAAAAGGGCCAAGGTTGACTACCTGCTCCAAACCAACCATTTTAGGCCAGGGAGCCGAAGTCCTTCAGCCAAGGATCATGTTTTGCCCATTTAGTTTCCACCCCACTTTGTCAAGAAGGGCCTGGGGGCTTCGGGACGACGGAAACAAACCGTCCCAGACCCTTCTCTATATCCCTCGAGGTCTTCTTGGTCAAGGGACCTGCCGCTGAAGGCCTCAAAGAAGTCCTTCCAAGGTGCTTCCCCTTCCCGAACTCATCAACGGACTTGCACAGTCACCAAGCGATACATCATATATATGAAAATTGGTTTGAATCTTTCTTAATTGGAGAGATGATTATAACATCCTAATGCCGGCTGGGCGGGAAGAGAAGATGATTAGATAAGCCTCGTGTGGATTAACAGCCCGTGTCGCTTTCAGTCGTCAGACAAATGACGCTGGAGACTTCTACCTGCAGGGGGAAAAGGATTGGGACCTTACGCCTGGCAAGCGTCCCCTTTGCCCCGGCTTTTATGGGTCTCTTTAATTGGCTCACCGAACAGGCTTTTATCTAGGGCAGTCCCTTGTTTTTCACATTCTAATCAGCATCTCTCTCCAGAGCTTGGGGGGGATCTAAGCCAGGGGTCATCACATTAAAGATTTTATAATGGCCCTTATCTTGCAGGGTCAGCGACCCCCGAAGGCCTTCAGAAAGACGGTCACAATTTGGCTTTTGTTCTCTTTGGCATATGGGGCTGGGAAGACTGCCTCCCCCGTGGGGAGGAGGGTATGGTGAATCTCCTTGTTCTTGTTCAGTTGCTAAGTTGTGTCCGATTCTTCGGGACCCCATGGACCAAAGCATGCCAGGCTCCCCTGTCATCTCCAGGAGTTTGCCCAAATTCACGTTTGTTGAGTTGATGACACCATCCCATCCTCTCATCCTCTGCCTCTCCTCCCTTGTCTCCAGGAATGTGCCCAAATTCACGTTCGTTGAGTTGATGACACCGTCTCATCCTCTCATCCTCTGCCTCTCCTCCCTTGTCTCCAGGAATGTGCCCAAATTCACGTTCGTTGAGTTGATGACACCATCCCATCCTCTCAACCTCTGCCTCTCCT